GTGCAGACTTTGTTTTAAGGATTTGTGGGGTTATTCTCTGTTTTTTTTTTAGCACACTAACTTAGAGAGTGTATAAATGAAATTAGATTCATAAATCTAATTCCCCCCCACCCCCATATTAATGGCTATTAGGTCAATCTATGGAATAAATTCATGGACAATAAATCTTCAATCGATTCCTGCCTGTTAATCACATACTTACATTTATTTATTTAACAAATTTATATGGCTGCCCAGCTCAAACATAGGTGACTCCAGGCAGCTTTGTGTCAAGCACCTGGGGAAATCAGAAGATTCAGGCAGTTCAAATGAGTATAAAGTTTTATTGCAACCTTAAGCTCTGTACAAGAATCTGAGCTACTAAATTTCAAAGCAATTTGGCTGTAGATAAAGAATTCATGGTGGGCTGGACTTAGATCTTTTTCAGACATACAGTTTGGTGATTTGATGTGCTTCCCTGCACGCTGCGAGCTGCGCTCCCGTAAATCGTCATCAGCACACTGCGTGCAGAGAAGCAGCCTTTGAAACAGGCCTCTTTTCCTGCTTTTTTAACTGCAGCTGTGCCTCGTTCGGCAGCTGAAGTTGAAAAATCAGGAAATAAAGATCAGGTAACAGCCCAGGTGGGCAAAAACATCAGCAGTCATAGAACCGGTTCTATTCTGCTGCTCTACAGAGGTGGATAGAACCGGTAGAAACTAACCCCTGGAGACTTATGACATGTTTGACTCTTCCCTCCGGCTCAGCCTAGTCATCTCCTACACTTACAACATTTAAAAATCCTCCACATAAATACCTATAAACAACCCTGTCCCATTCCCCTATGGTAGCAACAACACAATCAAATCAACCACTTGATTGGCTCTCTCTCCATTTGTGTGGTACCCAGGCCCACTGACAAAAACCACATTTTTAGGCCTTTTAGAAAAGCAACAGGGTGTGGGCCAAGTGTACCTCAGGGGGAATGTTGTTCCACAGAGAAGAGGCCACCACCAAAAAGGCCCCTTTTGTAACATATTCTGCCTTCCCATCCTGGTGGGCTGGATATTTCCAGGTTGCAAGAATAAAAATAAACAAGGGAAGGTTAGATTGTCTTCAAACCTTGTTTCTGGAGGTATTAGCCTGGCCATTGGGGGAAGCAGAAAAATTAGATGCCTGCAGAGAAGAGCAACGAAGATGATGAAGGGTCTGCAGCCTCAAACATATGACAGCCATGTCTATCTTATTGAAGAAAAGGATTGACAGGACATGATAGCTGTCTTCCAGTACTTGAGGGGCTGTCACCAAGAACAAGGCACCAGAGATTGGGACAAGAAGCAATGTGTGGAGACCCAACCTAGAACTAAGGAGGAATATTCTGACAGTAAGAACAATTAATCATTGGAATAGCTTGCCTCCTGGAGTTGTGGATGCTCCATCAGTGGAACTAATTGGAGGTTCTTGAGAATAGACTGGATAATCATTTGACTGGGGTGGTATAAGGACTCTTGCCTTGAGCAGGCGGTTAGACTAGAAGATCTCTGGGGCCTAGATCAGAGGTGTCAAACTCGTGGCCCATGGGCCGGATGCATCACACACTGGCCACGCCCACCCCCGGTTTAGCAAAGGGTGGGGGGGAAACTTGCGATACATCACATGACAACAATGTGTCATTGCGAGTTGGACACCCCTTTTCTACATGGACTTCATTTGGACTTGCCCTCTTGTCTGCAACTCTTTGAAGCAGCTGTAACATTTCCTAGATTTACCTGGATGCAAAAGGCAGAGCTTGGCCCCTCATCCGCAGCTCTTTAAAGCAGCCATGTCTTTTCCTAGCTTTGCCCGGGAATAGAACCTGGGAACAGCTGTAGAGTTGCAAACAGGGCCACATTTTCACACATTCTGAAGCTCCCTTTTCAAATATAATTCAAAGCACTGCACAGCCGGCCTTTACTATTCTGAGCTCTTTTTGGATTATTACTACCACTGCTGCACTTATTATTCGTTTGTTGTGAGTATGTTACAATGGAGAGGGGTTTGAAGAGGGAAAAAAAAAAAACCTTGCCACAGCATGCTTACCACCACACTATGTTTAAACACATTGTAAAGTGGATGTAATTGTAAACACACCGAGGGATATAATTACATGTAGCAGATTTAGTCACTAATTCTTTGCCTTGTTTTTTTTCCCCCTCTCCTCCCCCCCTGCCCTGTGCATTTTATCAACATAATTATATTTTTTTGACTGCGGGCTAACACCCTGAAATTGACAAGCATCTATTATGAGCAGAAACTTGTTCTCTAAATTGAAAAACAATATACGCCAGGTTTCTGTGTGCCCATTGTCATCGGGAAACAGCTTTGTTCAGAAAGAGGAAAGGCTAATGATTTTGAAACAGCAGGTGACAAAACAGCATTCTTTCTCTTTTTTTAAACCATACTTTCTCCTCTTATCAGTATGTTGATGAAATCATTATGAACTGGGGTCTGTGATGGGAATTGCACTTATTTTTAGCAGATAGACTTTTAATGAGTTCTATTGTGTTATCAGTCAGGTTGATTCCTTTTCTCTCTCTCTCTCTCTCTCTCTCTCTCTCTTCCTCTCTCTCTCTCTTTCTCTTCATTCAGAAACCCCCAGTATTGAAAAACTACTATCAAAAGATTGGAAAGACAAGCTCCTTGCCATGGGATCAGGCAACTTTGGAGAAATAAAAGGTAACACTTATTTCTATTCACGAAAGAATAGAATGCAAGAAAAAGAAAAGAAATTGGAGTGCAGATAGTTTTCAATTTACAACCGTTCGTTTAGAGTTGGAATTACAACAGCACTGAAAAAAAAATGACGAATGACCGGTTTTCACACTTACAACTTATATGCCAATAGTCGCATGATCAAATCCAGGCGCTTGGCTAACTGGCCTGTATTTATGACAGTTGCAATCTCCTATGATTACCATTTGCAATCTTCCCAGATGGCAAAATCAATGGAGGAAGCCAGATTTGCTTATTGACTGCATTATTCATTTAATAATTGTAATGATTTTGCTTAACAACAGTGGCAAAAGGGTGGAAAAATACAGAAAACTCGCTGAAAAACTGCCTTGCTGAACAATGGAAATTGTATGTTCAATTGCTGTTGTAAGTTAAGATCTACCTGTAAATATGATGAGTTGTATTAGTCATGTGTTTTTCACTTCATTTTGCTCTTCTTCATCTGAGATTAGGACATGGTAAAAATTGGCCTTATAGAATAGAATAGAATAGAATAGAATAGAATAGAATAGAATAGAATAGAATTCTTTATTGGCCAAGTGTGATTGACACACAAGGAATTTGTCTTGGTGCAAATGCTCTCAGTGTACATAAAAGGAAAGATACATTTATCAAGAGTCAAGAATTATAAGGTACAACACTTAATAATAGTCATAGGGTACAAAAAGCAATCAAATTGTCCTGTTAAAGCTAAAACTCTTGTATCTTTGTCTCAGCAGCTGTATAAATATGATAAATAAACAAATATAGACCCATTTCTCTATCTCTTTGCTGTCTGGAATGTTACTTAGATCATGGGGACTTTGCTTGTAGGCTTTGCTTCAAAATTTAATTGCAGGATTGAAAATTGGGGTAGAGGAAATTTCTTTGATCAAGATCTCAAGGTACTTTCCTGCTCTTAAAATTAGTTTCTCATCTTTGGAAGAAGACTTGTCCAAGGGGACAGCACATAAGTCATGATGGATACAATTTTATACACATACACACATAAATATACACATTGTATTTAAAAAAAACAAAACATAAAAACAACTTTTTACGAAAAAGTTTCTGGTAGATTGCTACTTTAAAATCATGCGCTGGCGGCTAGGAACGTTGGAATCAAATTTGTGAGCAACCAATGAAAATAAAGAAATATACATGTTGATAAGATTCAAAACAGCAGTCGCCTTTTCAGGCGTTTGCCAAGGCTTGTGTCCTAAAAGAAGACCAACTTACAACGCTCAAGATCCCTCTCCCTGCTGTTTTACCCTGTTAGGTTTCCTTTAATCAAAGGAGTATTAATGACAGCAATGAGGAGACATTGCAACCTCCTCTTGCATCCTGTTTTACTGCTGTAATTACTATAAATCACTCTTAAGTAATTGGCATGGCTGGTCTAATGTAGAGAAAAAGCTGTGAGAAGTGGACTAGAAAATCTCTGATGAGAAGCCTCTTACAGATAAAACAGTCATTTGTTTGTAGTCTGATTTTCTTAATTTGCTGGCTGAAGGCTGAATCAAAGAGGTACTCAGGAAGAGGAAATCAAGAGTCCATCTTAGAGTCCTGCTACAAGGATCTGGTTTCACAAGGGAGATTCATGAGATGCTGGAGAAGAATCTCAGTTGCAAACAACAATGAAGGGGGTCAAAGGGCAAGCATACCTCTGCAGAGCAGAGTATCTCCCCCAGACAAGGCCTAATTCCTCTCCTGACAACATTCTCATGCAGGTCCATTACTGACGACCACAACTGAGCCCAAAATTATAAAGTGAGTGTTGCTCCATTTTATAACCTTTCTTCCCAGCATTGTTAAGTGAATCACTGCAGTTGTTAAAAGCTGTTGTGGTTTGCCGGCAGCCTGTGCAGATGGCAGCGGAATCGGACAGTGGGGAAGAACGGGGACCAGTCTGGGAGTCTGGAGAGGACTCGGACGAGGGTCCTGTGTCCGATGCAGAAATGGGGCCAGGACCATCTGGGAGTGGGGTGCTGCCTCCGAAGCCTCTGGAGTCTGGCAGTAGCGAGGCAGAGGACCCAGGGGAACCTGTTCCCAGTGTGCATGTGCATAGAGCTGCGAGAAGGCGACAGCAGCTGAAACAAAAGGGGTGACTTGGGAGTAAGGCTGGGAAGTGATTCCCCTTCCCATAAGGGATAAAGGACAGGCAAAGATGATGAAACCTTTGCAGGAAGCAAAGTCGTTCGTTCGGTTCAGATTCATTCTTGAAGCTCTTTGTACTTTGGTTGGTTTTCTTTTTAGTTCATTGGACACTTCTGTTATTGGCAGCGCTTCACAGGAAAGAAAGGTGGGTGCTTATCTCGAGAGACTGTTTGAGATTGATTACCGGCTGGGAATGAAAATAATTCCCAGCATTGCAGTAAAACAAGACTTGTTTTTAAAATAAGCATGTGCATAATTACAGTCTTGGAAGCCTTGGTCAGAACAAAAGCTAGTAACATGGTTGCTAAGTGAATCTGGCTTCCCCATTGACTTTGCTTGTCAGGAGGTCGCAAAAGGTGATCCCATGACCCTGAGACACTGCAATGGTCGTAAATATGAACCAATTGCCAAGTGCTTGAATTTTGGTCATATGACCACGGGGATGCTACAACAGTCTTGTGAAAAATGATCATACGTCACTTTTTTTCAGTCCCCTTGTAACTTCAAAAGGTGACTAAATTGTAAGTGGATAAGATAAGTTGCATCTAAAACTGCTCCTTGGTTAGAACAGTGCTATACATTTATTTGGTTTGCATTTTATGGTAATCCTATTGTCTGTGTGATGTGAATTTGGTGAAACATATTGCATGGATGGTGCCAAGGGATTCTGGAAGAGAAATTCCGAGTTATTTATTTATTTATTTATTTATTGTTTTATTTATTTATTTATTGTTTTATTTATTTATTTATTGTCTGCTTTATCAGTCAGAGGGGTAGCATATAATTTTAACAAAAAAATAAAATAACATTTGGATAGCTGCCCACCTTACAACAAACTCTGGGCGCCTTCTAATCAGAAATCAAAGCAACATTAAAAACCATATTAAAATGATAACAAAGCCAATGGATTAAAAACAAAAAGAGGGTTGCAGAGTGTGTGTGTGATGCACATTAAAAAAAAATAACAGGTGGAATTTCAACGGCCTCTTAAAGGAAAACTGTACATTTTCACTTGCATGAGAGCAATGTGTTTTGCTCCTGGTATTCATGTTTTCACGGATCGATTTTACCGGTTAATAGAAATGATCATGAGCTGTGGTGGCACAGTGGTCAGAATGCAGTATTGCAGGCTAATTCTGCCAGCTGCCGGGAGTTCGATCCTCATCGGCTCAAGGTTGACTCAGCCTTCCATCCTTCTGAGGTCAGTAAAATGAGGACCCAGATTGTTGGGTGGCAATAGGCTGACTCTGTAAACCGCTTAGAAAGGGGCTGTAAAGCACTGTGAAGTGGTCTATAAATGCTGTTGCTATCACAAACATATTATAAAACAAAATACATGTTACAAAAAATGAACCCCATACCGTATTACAATTTACGTGGTCTCCATAATAAACATCGGGCAGTCCAATCCTATCGCAATCATGGTAGCAATCCTAAATCTGCAAGACTGCCAACTTGATTGCTTATGAAAGTAAAAATATAATATCTATGGTGAAATATCTGTCGGAATGCTCTTCTTCCAATACTAGCTTTGGATCTCTGTGTGAGGAAGCTGAACCAAAAAAAAAAAAAAAATCACTGTAAACATCGTCTGTGCTGAATTTCACAAATTCATGAAGTGAGAATTCTTAATCAAGAACATATTCCAAGTGTATTAGAGAAGCTCTGGAATTTCAAACATACAAGGTATCAAAACTCACTTGATATGTTGTATATTTCTCCCTGTCAACATATATATACACATTTGGGATTGATTCAGAGCCTTGTTTCTTTCAGAAGAGCAAAGTCAATGATGCTAGCTCTGGTTTATGTTGAGTCACTAATAATGGGCATTTAAGCACATTATGCTACTCGGGGGTTGTGTGTGTCTCCTTTGTCAAATGGAGCCTGGCTAGCATTTTTTGGTGAAAATTATTGTAAACATGTAGAAAAGGCTACCTGTTTTTAGCAAGCAGCACAAATGTACGAGATTCTAGCTTTTCAGAGGTGATCCTGAAATTGTGGCATCAAAATTCTCCTTCTCTGGAAATTCAGTTGGCTTCGTCATTTTGCAATACAGGTAGTCCACAACTTACAACCACAATTAAGCCCAACATTTCGATTGCTAAGTGAGACATTAGTTAAAGCAAGTTTTGTCCCATTTTATAACCTTTCTTGCCACAGCTATTACGTGAATCATTGCAGTTGTTAAGTTAGTAACACGGTTGTTAAGAGAATCTGGCTTCCCAGAGACTTTGCTTGCCACAAAGGTTGCAAAAAATGGTCACAGGACACTGCAACCATCATAAATATAGTATAGTAGTAACTGTGAGAGCAATCTCAGAATCCTAGTGGACAAACATTTAAATAATGAGCCAGCCGTGCGCTGCAGCTGCCAAAAAAAGCCAACACAGTTCTAGGCTGTATAAACAGAGGGATAGAATCAAGATCACGTGAAGTGTTAATACCACTTTATAAGGCCTTGGTAAGGCCACACTTGGAATCCTGCATCCAGTTTTGGTCTCCACAATGTTAAAAAGATGTGGAGACTCTAGAAAAAGTGCAGAGAAGAGCCACAAAGATGATTAGGGGACTGGAGGCGAAAACATATAAAGAAGGGTTGCTGGAATTGGGTATGTCTAGTCTGATGAAAAGAAGAACTAGGGGTGACATGATAGCAGTCTTCCAATCGCTCAGGGGCTGCCCCAAAGAAGAGGGAGTCAAGCTATTCTCCAAAGCACTTGATGGCAGGACAAGAAGCAATGGATGGAAACTAATCAAGGAGAGAAGCAACCTTGATATAAGGAGACATTTCCTGACAGTCAGAACAATTAATCAGTGGAGCAACTTGCTTCCAGAAATTGTAAATGCTCCAACACTGGAAGTTTTTAAAAAGATGTTGGATAACCATTTGTCTGAAGTGGTGTAGGGTTTTCTGCCTGAGCAGGGGGTTGGACTAGAAGACCTCTAAGGTCCCTTCCAATATTGTACTCTATTCTAAATATGAACCAGTTGCCAAGCATCTGAATTTTGATCATGTGACCAGGGGGATTCTGCAGCGGTCATAAGTCACTTTTTTTATGCCGTTGTAACTTTGAATGGTCACTAAATATTGTTAAAAATGTTTCTGCTCGTACCAGAAATTAGACTTAATATATTGTTGATTCAAGTTTGTATATAGCTTTTGGACAGAGCTGAAATCAAGTGATGTTCACCAGAGTTTTCAGAGTCAGAGATACAGAAGCCCACATCTGTTCTGCTAACTCTGTATAATATGTAATTGCCTTACCTTTTCATGTAGATTCTGGTTAGCTAGAAACTCTAACGATCAATTTCATCCAATTGTGATCAGTTTTGTCTTGGACAAAATTCAAAATTTCTCTAACTCCAGATTTAAAAGAACACAATGCAGGCAGAAATTCTGGTTTTAACATGCCTAAACACCATCTATTAAATCCTTGTTAGTTTAAAATCAGTGTGTGCTTGGAAGGTGTGGTTCAAAGCATCAGCAATGGATATTTAGATCAAGCAGTCTCTCGTATCTGACAGTATTTACTTTGCCCTAAACTAAAGATAGGCCATATGGATTTTCTTCCAGTTTTTTTTTTAAAAAATCCACTTTTATAACTGCCAATAATGGATTAAGAGAAATAATCTGTTCAGTGACACTATAGCTCATCAGTGTCTATGAATTAAAGACACATGTTACATGGATTCCATGTATGGATTAAAAAGGA